AGGGTAGGGCTGGTGGAGTGGCTCAAGTGGTAGAGCACCTATATAGAACGTATGAGGCCCTGAGTTCAATCCCCAGCGCCACAAACAACAAAAAGAAATGTACAGTATGATAGCATTAAATACATTCACACTGTTGTGTAACTATTACCACTATCCATTTCAAGAACTTTTTCATCTTCCTAAAATTAAACAGTAACTTCCCATTCTTCCCTTTCCCCAGCCCCTGATAATCACTATTCTGTCTCTATGAATTTGATTATTTCAGGCACCTCATATAAATAAAAGCATACAATATTTGTCCTCTTGTGACTGCTTATTTCATTTAGCATATTGTCTTCAAGATGAATACATGTTGTAGAATATGTCAGAATTTGGGCCTTTTTAAGGCTGAATAACTATTCCATTGTATGTATATACCACATTTTGTTTATCCATTCATCCAACAATAGACATTAAGAGTTTTATGTTATTGGAGTTCACATCTCTCTAGTGAGATCATGCTCAAATATTTACAAGTTAAATTATAAAGTATCTGATATTTGCTTCAAAATACTCCAGTCTAAGAAGGTGAGAGGTATATGTGATAAATGAAACAAGATAATCACTTTTCACTTATGAGATTAATAAAGATCAGAAACACTAAGCTCTTTTTCCTCCAGACACCCAAGATGTCAAAAGGAAAGGAGATCAAGGGGAAGAAGGAATCCACAGACCCTTAAAAGTTCCCTTTCCCTGCTGTCATAATGAAGCAGGAGACTAAGAAAGTAGTAAATCCCATTTGAGAAAATATCTATAAATTTTTTCATTGAATAGGACATCCATCCCAAAAGGGAGCTCACCTGCTTTTAGGACCACTATAACCAGGTGCAATGGCAAAAGACTATCCTCTATAAGCAGTTGAAAGTGCCTCCTGCAATTAGCCAGTTTACCCCAGTATTGGATCACCAAACAGCCACCGACCTGTTCAAGCTGGTCCACAAGTAAAGATCAAAGGAAAAAATAACAGCAGAAGCAGTAACTGTTGGCCTGGCTGAGGAGAATGCAGCTGGCAAAGAAGATGCCCCCACAGAGATCACCTGTCCATCAAGCACAGCTTAATACTGTCATCCCCCTGGTAAGGACAAACAGGCTCAACTGGTGGTGACTGCACCTGGCACAGATCCCACTGAACAGCTGTCTTCCTACCTGCCCTGTGTGGTAAGATGGCGACTCCCTACTGCAGCATCAGGGGAAGGTATAGCTGAGACATCTAATCCACAGGAAGGCAGGCTCCACCATTGCCTTCATCCAGGTTAACTCAGAAGAGAAAGGAACCCTAGCTAAGTTGTTGGAAGCCATCGGGAACAATTACAATGACAGAGATAAAGAGGTTCACTGTCGCTGGGAAGGCAACATTCTGGGTTGCCAAGCTAAAGAACTTGTCACTAAGCTGGGTTAAATGTACGCTGTTGAGTTTTCTGTACAGAATAAATACTGTCATATAAAAGAAAAAGAAACACATGACATCATAACATGTTGACCAGGATATTAAAAAAAAAACAAACTCATACATTGGTGATAGAGCAAATTAATTTTTTTGGAGGGCTCTATCAAAGTTTAAAGCGCACAACTGCTTTAACCTAGATGTATTTTCTGGAAATTTGTCTTCACACATATGCTGTCACATCCATAAGAAGTATATTCAGAGATATTGATTACAGTAATGCTTACAACAGTCCCAGACTGGAAATAACGAAAATGTCTATTAGTAGGAAACTGACCAAACAAATTACAGTACAATACAAAACTATGAAAATGCACTGGGGTAGTAAAGGAAACTGTTCTGTGTTCTACCTGAGACAGTGTCTGATAAACATGTTAAGGAAAAAGAACAATTTACTGAAGAAAAGGATAGTAGTTACCCAGACATTCACTACTTCCATTTCAGCACTGTCAGAGACCAAAAAACCTAAAAACTTTCCACAAAATATCTAGAAATGTTAAGTAAGTTACCACTACAATCTTTTTTCTCTTTTTTTCCTTTTTTTTTTTTTTTATGTGTGTGTGGTACTGGGGCTTGAACTCAGGGCCTACACCTTAAGCCATCCCACCAGCCCTTTTTTGTGAAGGGTGTTTTTGAGATAGGGTCTCGAGAACTATTTGCTTGGGCTGGCTTCAAACCGTGATCCTCCTGATCTCTCCCTCCTGAGTAGCTAGGATTACAGGAGTGAGCCACCAGCACCCAGATAATACTACCATCTTTTAAATGCATAACTAAGTTCAAAAGTATTGGAAATCTCTTATGAAGGAATGGGATGGAGAAAGGAACCCTGACTTCTTTACCCATTTATTTTTATGTTATAACTAATATGTATTACTTTGAAAATTAAAAAAGAAAAAATTATCCCTGAAGCGCTCTGAAAACAGCTGCTATGGATTTAATAATCAATGCACTACTTGAGTAACTAAAGCAATGTAATCTTTGGGCATCTTTTTAGGTATAGCCCATTTTACCACTTACAAGAGACTATGCTGGCATGTGGGTCCCTATTTTTTAAGGAGTTTTGAATCTGTAGGAAGAACAAGCAAGGCAAGAGCTGGGGATGTGGCTCAAGTGGTAGAGTGCCTGCCTAGCAAGTGTGAAGCCTTGAGTTCAAACTCCAATACAGTAAAAAATAAACAAAACAAATGTGTCAGTTTTTTAAGCAATCCAAAGAGATTTTTTTTAAATACAAGAAAATAAGATTTTTTTTAAATAAGAAAAGTCAAATAAATTTTGCCATGCCAGAGTAGTCCAGGTTTGCCCATGAAGAACCCTGCTTTAATTTGTTCATTTCCAGCTTTAAAAAGATTCCGGAGGCATCATTTTAGTTTGCTCTGCTGGCCATCATCACCCATCTCTCTAAAGGCAGGTTAGTTATGTAGCCCAGAAGACTTATTCAATCCAATCTAAGGAGTTATAAAATTTTCAAAATAATCATATGGCCACAATGCTATATATTATTCAATCTGTCCTTCATGAAACTGGACATGGCATGTACAGACATGCCATGAAATTCCTACAGGCAATAGCTCTGTGTTTCCAATAAAGATAATAAATCATTAAACACTACATATTGACTCACAGAGGACTACCACTGTGTGGAAAAATAAATTCTCTAAAACCTCAGTAAAGTCAAATGTCAAGAGATTAGAATGTGGACTATCTACAGCCTGTATGCCTTAAACCTATATAAGTACCTTCAACTCACCAACATATTTCTACCCCTACTCTGAGGCATCACAATTTTTAAAAATCAGACTTGCATCTCATCCAGGACAACCTGATAATTACTATTGTGTATCAAAATTCAGGGAGTGGGAAGAGAAGGGAAGGAGGAGGAAGAAGAGTAGGAGGAAGAAAAAGAGAAGGAGGAATAACTGAAGAAGAGGAGAAGAGAAAGATGAAGAGGAAAGTTTTTTTAAAAATAAGAATAGCATATTTAAAGACAAAAGACAAAACACAGTATTGAACTGAAGAACCAATAAAATGCTATTTAGGGGGTGGGGGTAGCTCAATGTAGAGAGCCTGAGTTCAATTCCCAGCACCAAAAAACAATGCTACTTAATAGAGGAAATAGGGAGAAGTGGTTGAGGGCAGGTTCTAGGAGCCCATATTCCTCGCTTACTACCTGTATGATCTTGAGCAAGTTTAACTCTGTGCCCTACTTTCCTCTTCTGAACAGTGGAAATAATAGCAGTAACTATTTCAAAATTTTTGAAGAGTAAATGAGTTAAATCACACACAACATTTAAAATTTGGTCACTTTTTACCAAACAGATGGATGAAAGTCCAAAGTTTTAATAACAATAGCCTCTACTAATGAGGTACTGGAAAACAAGCACTCTCATACATTATGAAGAGCAATTTTAAAATTCCACTTTTGAAAATTTATTCCACTGACGTTCTTGCACAGGTGGGAGAAGACAGGCATATTAAGTCTTTTGCCTCATACTGGACACCCAAATGTCCATCAAAAACCATTATTAAATCAAGAGTGGCAAATTCATGGAACACTGTGTAGCAATTTTTACAGAACAGACTGGCACTGACTTTACTGATAAGAAAAGACAGCTAAGATAAGTGAAAAATGCAAGACACAGAACAATGCTAAGTATGTTACCTTCTGCACAAAAAGAGACAGCAAAATTAGGAAACATATTTATCCTTGCTTGGTTTGCACTAAAAGAAACTAGTAACAGTGAGAGAGCTGAGCAAACAGGAGACCAGATAGAAGGGAAGCCAAACTGTGTACATATTTTTATTGAAGTTTTGGGTTGTTTTTTTTTGTTTGTTTGTTTTTGCTCTTTTAGCTGTATGAATATTTTATTAATTTTATTCAAACATTAAACTTGTAAGGTATTTTTAAAGTGTCAGGCATACATTCCCATATCTCAAATGTTAGCTGAAGCCTTTTTCTTACTCCCTCTTCACAGAAGCCTCCTCTCCTTTCTCTAACTTCCAGACTATTTAAGGGATTTATCACTTTCTGATGTTAGAAGATTAGTAAGTCAGTGTTTCATTAATTTTTAATAATTAGGAAGTAGTTACAAGACCGTCTCCGCAGCCATCACCTGCTGACACAATTCAGTCCCCAAACACCCCCTTCCCAGTCAATCCAAATCTCTTCCAGAAGCTGGCAGGAGGTTTACAGCGTTTCCCCACAAGTACACAAGTGACAGCTCCACACCAGGTATCCCCCACCCCCCACCCCGAGTACCCTGTCGTTCTACGCCGCACACTGCCTCTCTTCTCCCCATCGGTCACAACCCTGGCCTCCCCGAAAATTCGCAGCCCGGTTCCCTGGACATGCTCTGCGCTGCTCCCCACACCCTTTCCAGTACTGACAGCCAGTCAGCCACCTCCATCCCCATGTGGCTGTACCCTCGCTCCCCCCACCCCGGCCCTGACAGCTCAGGCCGGCCTCCCGACAGCCCGAACCCTCCCCACCCCCGACGCCGGCCGGGACGGCTCCGCTCACCCGCTCTCCCGCATCACGTTGCTGTCTCCGCAGTCGCAGGCGCCCCCGGCCTGGCTGCGGAACATGTTGAAGTCGTGGCCGGTGTGGTCGCCCTGGTGGAAGCATTCGGCACACAGCGACATGCATGGGGAGATGCCGCACGTCCGGCAGCGGTAGGCCACGAAGTTGGCTGTCCAGACCAGGCCGCAGAGCGCCGCGGGGTCATAGGCCCGCACCGCCGCGCAGAACTCGTCGTAGCCGCCGCCGCCCGCCAGAAGGCACTTACACCACTCCAGGGCCTCCTCCTCCGCCGCCCCCGGCCCGCCCCCGCCGCCGCCCGCCGCCGCCTCCTCGCCGCCCGCAGCCGCGGCCAGCGGCCGCTCGGCGCTCAGCACCCGCTCCAGCAGCGCCTGCAGCTCCTCAGCACCTGCCCGGTTGTCCGGTCGGCTGAGAGCGGCCTTCAGGTGTGCAGCGGTGGCCGCCTTATCGAGGGCCAGCCCCTGTGTGGACACCTCGGGCTGGGGCGGCTGCGGCCCCCCGACGGCTGCTGCGGCCGCCGCCGCCATGATGAGAGCTCAGAATTTGGAGCGTCCAGGGCCGGCAGCTCTTCCAGGGAGGGTGGGGGAATTAACTGCTGCGAAGGCTTGGCCCGCCCAAGTCTCGCGATACCCGGAGCCGCCGCGCACCTCCGCTGGTGCCCCGCCCCTAAGCACGCCCCTTAGGGGCGGTGCCTTAGCCCCGCCCCTGTTCTTGCCTCCACCTGTTGGCTCCCAAGTTGAGAGCGGTTAGTACAAGGGACTCACCTTAAAATCTTGAGCAAGAGCAATTTTTTTCTTTATTTTCCAGGACTGCAGGAATTTCACATATATTCCAGGTGCATTTTAGCATCCTCACTTCGTTTTGAGATGCTGATTACTGTTACCAAGCCTTTATTATTGAATTTCTACTATTACTCCCCTCACTCAATTCTTACCCTCCTGCTACTCCCAGGTTAAGAGCCTAAAGTACATTCTTGCTATATTCTCTTGTTCAAACTTTTTGTTTCCACTTTAATATGGAAACAAAAGCCAAACTCCACTACTCTTCAAATCTGACATTTATTTTGTATTTCCATCTTTATCTTCTGATGGTACTCCAAGTTTGCCATATTAAGGATTTTTGAAGATGCTTATCAAGTCTTGCCTGTGTTCTTTATTGTTCCTAGTTCCCTACCTTTCACTCCTAGTTTGCTCATGTCTGCTCAGGTCATGACCTTTCTTTAAAAAAAAATGGCTCTGACTTATTTGATAACTGCCTTCACCATAAAAATGTCATCCCTACCACCCTACTATTTAGTAAAATTCTTGGGGTTTGGGGTATTTTGTTTGGGGTTTTTTGAGACAGATTCTCACTATGTAGCCCAAGCTAACCTCAAATTTTGATGTCCTCCTGCCTCAGCCTCCCCTAATGCTGTGACTACACACTTGTGCCACCACACCAGGCTGGTAAATTTCTTGAAGGCAAAAAAATGAGTCTTCTTTATCATTGTCCATAAGTATTCAAATATTTGATTATTAAGTAGAAAATAATCACAATAGATAGCACCTCTTCTTTTTTTTGCTGCACTGGAGTTTGAACTCAGGACCTCATGCTTATTAGGCAGTGTGCTCTTACCACTTGAGCCACTATACTAATCTAGGTAGCACTTCTTGAATAACTATATGGGTCTGTTATTCTTTCTTCTGTTTTTTTGTTTGTTTGTTTGTTTTTTGGTACTGGGTTTGAGCTCAGGGTGTCAGACTTGCTAAGCAGGCGCTCTACCACTTGAGCCACTACACCCCTTCTTTGCTTTAGCTATTTTTCAGGTAGGAGCTCTCATTTTTGACATGGATCTCCTCAGACTGCCAGCCTCCCATCCGTACCTCTCTTGTAGCTGGGATTACAGTCTTGTATCACCATGCCTAGCTCATTTGTTGAGTTGGGGTCTTGCTAACTTTTTGCCTTGGCTGTACTCAAACCAAGATCCTCCTGATCTTCGCCTCCCTATGTTATTTCTTTTAATCCTCTCAATAATTCTATAAAGTAGGTACAAGTGGAGAATGCAAAAACTTAAGGAGGTGACTTATGTGTCCAAAACACACAGCAAGCACTGCGTGTCTCTTGTTCCAAGTACTAACCTCAGCTCTAGCAGGGGGAGGCTGGTAGCAGCCCAGCAAACATTTGGTGAGCTAATTTGCTGTGAGGTGGAAATCTTCTGGGCCTTAGCAAAGATGCAGAGAAGGAAACTTTCGTGGGCTTTTCTTTTAAGGGAGGAAACCAAAATTAGGACAGCACACAATGTTATTTAATGATAAAAAAAAAATTCCAGAGGTTTGTTAAGCATTTATAACCTTGAAAATGTTGCACAAACCTATCTGTAGAGGAGTTAATATAGGTCAAACTCTTAATACACTGCCATGCTTTTTTCCCCAAAATACTTCTAAAGCATGAGTTGAGAAACGTACTAAAAATGTTCTTGTTTCGATATTAAACAAATAGAACTTGCAGTTACTCACAAAGGAGAGAAAAAGGAAGAAGGGAGGGAAGAACGGAGGCAGACGGACATCGGCAGATTCACAATGAACTGCTTTTCTTCCAGACTCCTTTCTTATTCGTTTAAAGGCTATGAAATGAAGGGTATTGCTGCTGTCTGTAAAGAAAGGATGACATTACTTCTGAGGGTTTTCCTGAATCTTAAATGTGGTTGACTGGAAGAGCACCTCGCAAACAGCAGGCACAATGTCTTTTACGGTACGATCTCCACAACTGCCATAAGAATAGATGAACTTGCTGCACACATGGGGAATATCTCATCTGTATTTAAAGGCCAAACAGAGACTCGGAAAGTCAGTATTATTGTGAGTGAACATCGTTTGTACTTAGGTTGTCAGCAGTTACCTCCTCTCCTTTCTGCTAATAGAGGTGGCAAGGGCCACCAGCTGGGTTAGTCCCAGTTCTTCCCCAGGGTTTTAAGTGGAGATGGCAGAAAAGAGGCCCTTTCACCTTGTTGAGAATTGGTGTCGGTCTGGCCTGGAGCTGGGGTCCGTAGAGGTGCATCCGCAGAGGCCGATGCAGGGACAAAGACGCAGCTCTCGCGCTCCATACCTGTCCGCTCTGCTGCTTATAGGTGGAATATGGGCCTCTTTTTTGGCTTTAAGCTGCTTTTTTTTTCTGGTGCAAGTGAGAGTTCTAATAAACACAAAAGCAACTTTGAAGCTGCTTTTTATAAATATTCTGTTAAGGACTTTTTAATTTTGGAAAAAATTATGTTATCTATCATCTGTGTGGTTTCTTTTAATTTGAAAAGCCAATTTAGAAATATCACAAGATTCTTCTTCACGTTAACTAAACAGGATTGCATAAAAACATGTAGCTTTTAGATATTATTTGTAGCTTTCTATAACATCAGTGTGTTATATTGTTATTTACTACGTGTTGTAATTTTTTTTTTTTTTTTTTTGGCAATACTGGGGTTTGAACTGAGGGCCTGGTGCTTTTTAGGCAGGTGCGCTCTACCACTTGAGCCACTACACAGTCCTTTTTTGTGATGGGTATTTTCAAGATAGGGTCTCTGCAAACTATTTGTCCAGGCTGGCTTTGAGCCATGATCCTCCTGATTTCTGCTTCCTGAGTAGCTAGGATGACAGGCGTGAGCGACCAGCGCCTGGATTTTCTTTTAATTTTTTTTTTTTTTTTGAGACATGATCTCTCTTTTTTTTTTTTCTTTTATTATTCATATGTGCATACAAGGCTTGGGTCATTTCTCCTCCCTGCCCCCACCCCCTCCCTTACCACCCACTCCGCCCCCTTCCTCTCCCCCCAATCCCCTCAATAACCAGCAGAAACTATTTTGCCCGTATTTCTAATTTTGTTGTAGAGAGAGTATAAGCAATAATAGGAAGGAACAAGGGTTTTTGCTGGTTGAGATAAGGATAGCTATACAGGGCATTGACTCACATTAATTTCCTGTGCGTGTGTGTTACCTTCTAGGTTAATTCTTTTTGATCTAACCTTTTCTCTAGTTCCTGGTCCCCTTTTCCAATTGGCCTCAGTTGCTTTTAAGGCATCTGCTTTAGTTTCTCTGCGTTAAGGGCAACAAATGCTAGCTAATTTTTTAGGTGCCTTACCTATCCTCACCCCTGCCTTGTGTGCTCTCGCTTTTATCATGTGCTCAAAGTCCAATCCTGTTGTTGTGTTTGCCCTTGATCTAATGTCCACATATGAGGGAGAACATACGATTTTTGGTCTTTTGGGCCAGGCTAACCTCACTCAGAATGATGTTCTCCAATTCCATCCATTTACCAGCGAATGATAACATTTCGTTCTTCTTCATGGCTGCATAAAATTCCATTGTGTATAGATACCACATTTTCTTAATCCATCGTCAGTGGTGGGGCATCTTGGCTGTTTCCATAACTTGGCTATTGTGAATAGTGCCGCAATAAACATGGGTGTGCAGGTGCCTCTGGAGTAACCTGTGTCACAGTCTTTTGGGTATATCCCCAAGAGTGGTATTGCTGGATCAAATGGTAGATCGATGTCCAGCTTTTTAAGTAGCCTCCAAATTTTTTTCCAGAGTGGTTGTACTAGTTTACATTCCCACCAACAGTGTAAGAGGGTTCCTTTTTCCCCACATCCTCGCCAACACCTGTTATTGGTGGTGTTGCTAATGATGGCTTTTCTAACAGAGGTGAGGTGGAATCTTAGTGTGGTTTTAATTTGCATTTCCTTTATTGCTAGAGATGGTGAGCATTTTTTCATGTGTTTTTTGGCCATTTGAATTTCTTCTTTTGAGAAAGTTCTGTTTAGTTCACTTGCCCATTTCTTTATTGGTTCATTAGTTTTGGGAGAATTTAGTTTTTTAAGTTCCCTATATATTCGAGACATGATCTCTCTATGTTGCCCGGGCTGGCCTTGAATTCTGAGCTTTCTGACTCAGCCTCTTGAGTGCTGGGATTATAGGGTATACCACCACACCCAGTTCCAATGCTGTCATCTAATGAGGTATAGCATTTAAGTGAGGGCAGTCCAGCTGAATTCCAATCTGACTTTCTTCTATGGATATATGACCTTTGTGGGAATTCCCATGACATAGCATAGTGATTCAAGAGATGGGTAATTTAAAAGAAAAGCTTTTATAGCTTTTATATTGCACTAATGCCTTAAAAGAAAAAGATGTCAGAGTTCCTGGATCCAAATGATAGGAGCCCTGGAATCCTGGAAGAAGTATATTCAAAACCTGTCATACTGATTTTAAATGCTAAAACAGTAATTTTTTATTCCCTATACAGAACGTATTTCACTCATTTCAAACAACAAGTAATATTACTGATTATTAACAGCTTTATTGAGGGATAATTTCATCTGCTTTTGGAGAAACCGATGGTGTTTAGAAATTTTACATAATAGTGAGCCATCACCATAGCCCAGCCCCTCATTCATGCACCACCCCTCACACTACTCTGATTTCTGTCTCTAGAGGTAACCCATTAGGACAGTTTATAAAGTACGTGTTCCTAGTGTCTGACATCTTTCACTGTCATGTTTTTAAATTTCATCCACAATGTAGCATAAATCAGTATTAAGATCT